AGGGGCTCCTGGGCCATACTTTGAAACTGTTAGAGCTTGTTTCTCCTAAGGATCCCTGATGAGAAGGACTGCACAAGTGGGCTTGCATATAGCCTTTTCTCCACTACTAGGTCTGTACCAAAATTATATATCATAATGATGGCCTAAATTAAATGTCAATGCTTGCAGAAGTGTCCAACCTTCTGGACCAGTGTCTCTGGACCATGCTGGAAGAAGAATTGTCTTGGGCCACACATTAAATACACAAACACTAATGAAAACTGATAAACAGACAAAAAAAAAGGTTTTAAGTAAATTTATGAGTTTGTATTGGGCTGCATTCATAGCCATCCTGGGCTGCATGTGGCCTGCGGGCCGCGGGTTGGACACCCCTGCTAGAGTTAAATCATTCATGATGTTTTGTGTAACTTCTAATTTAGAATGACCTCAACCAAGTAACATCTAGTGATTAGCTTTCTGGGTCTGGCATTGCTTCTCTGACCCATTTCAGAAGACTAAGGATTTCCAATTGTATTTCTAGGATATAATTGGCAGAGCTTGACTTACAAAATCAGTCCACGCATGCACTGATTCTGTAGCCAAGCCTTCCCTGAAAGTTTAGACTGAAAGTAATTTCAGTATTCCTGCCTCAAGTTTCATGGAAGCCCCTTTTTGAAATCTCACTATGTCCAATATTTCAGAAAAATGAGGAAAGTTACAGGACAACTTCCTCCTCCATTCTCCCTCTGAGAAAAAGAAAACACATTTTCACAATAATCACTTTTGGAAATGGAAAAATGCTACCTCGTTTATGAGAATACCAGGGTTCTCCACCTGTTAAGCCTGACATGATTCAGCTGTGCAAGCCTGAGACATTTTGATTCTCCATGTATCGGAGACAAGTGTCATACACACTGATTTGCAGAGAACACCACAGACAGCACTCTCCAGGGAGACGAGGCTGGAAACAACAGAGATAGGAACTACTGAGTGGTGCTGTCCATAGGCCCAGGCAGGTCTTAGGTCAGGTTATTGAGAGCTGCTGCATGAAATAACATTTCAAATTTAAATTCCTTGTAAAACACCAGGAAAATATGGGTCAGAGAGCTTGCTAATGGAGATTCTAGGGAAAGGACAATCACTAAGTCACCCTGAAGACCTAGAAGTGACTGAAAGAACGTCAGGAAAGTGGGCAGGTGAAAAGCTAGTAATAAAAAAAAAAGCAAAACATCTTTTAGGAGTCCACACATCGGGATGCTGACGGGGTCAGGCAGTCATTGTATTTTTTATCTCCAGGTAGGGTTAGTACATTTGGGCTTTCTACCCTACAGGCTGTTGTTTCTTCTGTCTCCGTCCCTTATCATCAGCTTCTCACAAGGGCAGTCTATACCACAGTCTCCTCGTTCCCTCCCCGTGGCCCTTCCTGTTTGCTGAAATGGTTACTTAGATATCTCCGGTGGTCCGGTGGTATTTCTCAATCATTCTGTTCATACTTAGAGGTGCTCGTGTGTACAGGTGTGTGTGTGTGTGTGTGTGTGTGTGTGTGTGTGTGTGTGTATTTGAGACTGCGCTCATTTATTTGAGCATAAGGTTTTGTATATGTTTATCCCTTATTACCAATTTGAGAGATAAAGTGGATTTTGTTCTAGCTAAAAAGTCTGGTAGGAAGAGGGTGTAGAGAGAAGAAGCCCCAAGTCCCAAGTGAGACATCAGAACCTGCCATCAGGAAATGTGTAGTAGAAAAGTGTGACAGAAGCAAAAAAGACCAGATCCCATGATACATTCAGATTGTGTCTTCTCCCCTTGCTATCCACGCGGCGTCTGGAGTGATCTCATACTGTCACGAGAAGGGTCATCTAAATAAGCATTGTGTTTGAGCCCAGCCTCAGGCCCATGTCGTCCTCGCCAGCCCAGGGTGTGGGCAGAGCTGGTGTGAGCATGTCCACAGCTCCTCCAAGAGCTTCTCTCCTGGGAAGGCGCCACAGAGACTCTGGGACAGTTGTGTATAAGATTGAGCCCTGCCAGCAAACTAATTAAATGGCTTTTTAAAAGCTCCAAGCTCAGCAGCAAGAGTGGGTGGCTCATTTCCTGACTCACCTATTCAACTCATTTGTGGTCCCAGCACATACTCCCTCTTGTAGGACACACTGCCTGGCTTCAGTTTGAGCTATTCCATTTCTCTGCAGGGCAGACGGGAATGCGAAAAGTAATAGCTTTCTCTTCTGTGTGGGATCACGTTTATGAATGGGTGTTCAGTTCTTTGTGCCAAAGGAATTGTGGGAATGTTAGAACCAGTTTGAACAAAACTGGATATTTAATTAAAAACCTTCCTTCTGAAGACCCAGAGCTTTGACTGGAAAGCAGCAGAGTCCATCCCGGCACAGGGTGGCCTCCACAGCCAGGGAGGTGGGGAAGCTTCCCAGGGCCTTACCTCTCCATCCATGAGCCCAGGAAACACTCAGGGAGTGAGGAGGAATGAAAAGCCATTGTATCTTCAGAGCCTGCAAATACAAAGAAGGAGCTACAGAGACTACAGGCAACAATACCTCTGCCATGATAGAATTTTCTAGTTTAAGAACTTTACTTTTGTTTCACAAGATCCCAGCAAAAGGAAAATGCTGTTAATGAGTGTCCCCCTACACCGCTAAATCCTCTATGTTTTGATTAGAGGCAGGGTCCTGTCTGTCCAAAATGGAGAGCGATTACGTAGCAGAGGTCATTTCTGCCCCTCCCACTGCCACCTACAACTTTGCCTATCATGGTTAAGGGCCTATTCAGCTAGAATAATGAAATTGATTCTGTGGTAAAACAGGATCTTGCTAATTGGTATGCCAATTCATGACATTTTATTTCTGTTGTCTATCCCAAATCAAGTTGTTGAGTTTAATACTCCTTCTCCTAGGATAATTTTTAGTAAATAAAAATATATTTACAGAAATTCATGATAGATATGATTTCCAGCTGACCTGGTGAAGCTTAAGGTTAGGTCTGACAAATATACCGCACGTATTCATGCTTGTTTTTCCCTATCACCTGTGTCTATGCGTGCCCCCCTGAGATCTCTCATGAACTCTCTTCTCTTTCTATATACCTTCCTCAGGCAGTCTCTGCCACTCTTGTGGCTTTATGTTTCATCTATATGCTTATAGCCTCCAAATTCTTTCTTCTGCCCTCTCTTCCAGTCTTTTATTTCCAACTTTCTTATTTAAATTTCCATGTGAAATTCCAGCTGGCTATTTAAGTCAGTATGTCTGAAACTGAACTTACTGGATCCCCCTGTCTACAAATTGATTTCTCTTATGCCACCCCATCTCCCAGTTGCCCCAGATTGAAACCCAGAGTCTCTCTTTGCTGTTTCTCGAGCACCAAGACCCACCAGTTCTCTACTATAAATATGATGGGGGTATTGTCTCCTGTGCTTCACCCTCCCTGGTAGTACTTTTTATTCATTCATTCACTAACGACTTTTTATATTCAGGCACTATGCTAAGGGCTAGTGGCACACAGAGAAGATGAGAACCAATGAATGAGTAGAGTTCCCAGCACTGTGGTCATTGACCTATCATAAGTCAGGGTAATGGATGAGCAGGAGTTTGGGAGTCAGAACCAAGGACTTTTCCTGTTTTGGTTCAACTCCTCTCTTGCGGGGACAGTTGGAAAAACCTGCCACCACACATCCGTTCTGTTCTCTGCCCTGCTGCCTGGGTTTATCTCTAAAGTTCAAATCAAATAGTGTCACCCTTCTGACTAAAACCCTTCCCCAGCTCCCCATCACACAGGACAGGCACCAGACTTCTGGACTCTACTTTCAAAACCTTCAAACGCAGCTTTTTCCCCCCATGGCACTCCTTTATACAACATAGTTATTAACTTCACAGTCCATGAAATAGAAAAGGAAAGAACAGAAATTAAAACGCCCACTCTGCCTTCAAAATTTACCATCAGTATTATTTTCAATCACCCTTTTTCCCCCTTTGGCAATCAACTCAATGAATCATTTTCCTAATGATGGCTGTTCACACTTTGCATAACTGTTTCAAATGACAAGACACTGCACAGTTTTGATGAGTGCAGATAATCAGTATGTGATTATTTCCTGTCCTGATGTACTCACAGGTGCTCCATATGAGTCTGTGGCGACCCACCAGAAACAAGTCCTTTGGCCTTGCTCTTAGAAACTTTGAGTCCATCTTTACAGATGAGTGTGACCTCAAGAGAGAATGAGAGCCAGGTGCCACCAACCTGTTTCTTCACTGGAGTAGACCACTGCAAAAACATTCATTTACTCATTCATTCACTTAGTCATTCATGCATCAAATACTTACCAAGTGCTTGCCAAGTTCTCTGTGTTGCAAAGTTGGGTTCTGTCCCAAGGGAGCTCACAGTCTCTTTTGTGATTAAGTTCTGTGATTTGATCCAAATGTCGGGAACCAAAACGGAGTGAGAGAGATATCAGGGGTCAGGGGGTTGGAGAAATACTTGAGAGGCTTTAAAAGATTGAACAAAGTTTTTTGTAGAAAGAATGTGTTTGTGGGTGTGCATGCGCACATGTGTGTGTTTATGTATTGGGGGGGGAGTTGTATTTATGTATTAAGAAGTGGGGGAACGGTAGCACATGGGCGGGAAAGAAATTGCTCTCCTGGTAAAGGGAACCCAAATGCAAAGGTAATTAAAAGAACTTCACCATTTTCTTGGGGAGAAATTATGGTAAGGTCAGTGTGGTTTGAGGGAGGCAGCAAAGGAGAGGCAGGCAGTACGGGTGCAAAGGGAGCGGGTTACAGAAAACATGTACAAGAAGCTCAGACTTTCTCTGCAAGCCGTGGGAGCCCAGAGAAGTCTCTAAACAAGAGGAGTCACCAGGAAAATGATTTTTTTAAAATAAAGGTTCCCTTTATTCAAAAGGTGTGGGTGTAGAGTATGGATAAGCATTAAATGAATGCTTTTCTGAATGGCCACAGCCAAGTACAGGTCCATGGCTGTGTCCCAGCTGACTCTGCATGTTTGTGTGTGTTTTTTCCTAGTGACAGTGCTGGCCATCTTCCATGAACTGCATGTTGACCCTGACCTGTACACACTCTTGTTTGGGGAGAGTGTGTTGAATGATGCAGTGGCCATAGTGCTAACATAGTAAGTACCAGAATTTGGCCAATGTTTCTTTGGTGATGTGAAATAGGCTTCTACCTGGTGATAATTCCTAGTGGCTTTAATAGCATCTTTTGTATTATGTTGTAGAGATACAGGCAATTTCTAGCTTAGCTTTCAAGGAATTGTTACAAAAGGAAATCTTCAATATTGTGTATAATTCATTAGGCACCTAATGTGTAACTCTGTTAATAGGTTTCATGATTCCAGCTTATTATAGCATACCACAGAGAAAGTAACATTTATTTTCTTCTCGATGTATATATTTAGCTATTCAATTAGGGTTCCTAAGATGCACATAGTGAGCTTTCTTAACTTCAAATCAATATCATTTAATTATGTTCCTTATACGATTCATTTTCCAGTTAATAGTCTAATAGAAACCATTGTATTTATAGTAATCTTGGTAAACAATTGAAAACAGAACTTGAGAGTCAGAATACTCTTTTTATTTCTTGATGCAAATGTGATATGTTTTGCAACTTGAAATCATCATATGACAAATGAAACCAACAGAGCTTCACTAAAAGATCATATAATTCTTCCTTCATCCTGAAAGAATTTTCTTTTTAAGATAAGAACTAGTGCTCTTTCCTCACCTCCTCTGTAGACACCATTTATATTTAATAAATGCCACTCCGGTGGCTTTCCCTGTGTCAGAGGTCTCTTCTTGGTTTTAAAGACCAATATTTTGGGCAACTGTCAAATAACCAAAGGAAAGTAACTATCTGATAATTAAATGTGACCACAAAATTTAATTCAAGACATTAACTACTTTAAATGCACTTGAAAATGTGTTGTGAAGTAAAAAAAGGACTTCGAAGTCAGATCTCAGGAGGGAGGACACAGCAGAGCAGCTCTGCTCCTGTTTCCTGCTGGCTGACATTTTGTAAGGATGCCACCCAGAACTGCCCCTGAATTCAGCAACTTGCAAGTAAGAGTCTCCAAGTAAACTGATATTTCACCTGGCCACCGAAAAGTGTCCTTCTTGCATTAAAGGAAAATATGAGAGCAAATTAAGAAAAAAGCCATGGCAGACTCACAAATGCTGAAGAACACTTTTAAAGAAACACTAAGAAAATTAATTAGGACATCAGGAATCCCTGTCCAAGAAATACAAATACTATTAAAGAAACATATTTTAAGTTTTTAAAAAATCTGCCAAGTCCCCCATTTTCACTGCCTGAACTGCCAAGTTATAAAGAGCCGAGCGAAGAGCTAAACCACTGAGACACACATGAGCTGGGGAGGAATCACTTAGCCACAGCCCAGGGAACACTGGCCTTTTGGGGCAGCACTCTCATTTGCAGCAGTTGTGTTAAAAGTGCAGACTCCAGGGTGAATGCTGAGGTTGCTGATTAAGCACAAGCCTGGGGCTTTAAACAGTCTGTGTAGTGTCTTCTCAGGTCCCTGTGCAGTTACGAGTGGAAGCACCTTTCCTACTCCCCTCCCTACCCATCAAGATCTCTGCCTTCACCCCAGGAGGTGCTTGCCATGTTAGCTGAAACTTTGTGCTCCCCAGCTTTGGCAATCCAGGTATTGTGCAGAGTGACTCTAAAGAATTTCATCTTGAAAATAAAGATGATCTTACATTAGGAATACCTGACACGCTCAATAACATCTACACAATGGAATCCGCAGGCTCTTTCTCCTGCCAGCTGCGTTTGGACTCCACCGGAGCTTTCCATGATCTCCACTGGGTGGTTGGATCTCACTGTCCTGGGTTATGGGCTATCTGCCCACCAGTGACTCCACCTTGCAGTTATTCATGTCTGGTACTCTTTGCTTTTCTTGCTCACTTGCTTCTTAAACTTGGTTTACAGCACGATGATCTTTTTGTATGTCTATTTACACATGCACCATCCTTTTAATGCTCCGGCCCTATACTCTCCCTTTCACTTATTTTCTAGTTCCCTTAGGAAAACCCTATTTAAAAATCACTTAAGTTTTCCATGACTTTCAGACTAGAAGTTCAAATATTTGTCTCTCCACTCTTCCCTCTCTTCACGCTAAACTGTGCGTGGCGGGTACCTTCATGCCCTTGCACACACAGTATTGCTCCTCCCAGCCTCTGTTTCTGCCTCATCAAGTCCTTCACCACTTACACCATCTCTTCCTTCAGGACCCACTGACCCACATGGGGAACCCCCACCTCATGATGCCCTGACCTCCATCAGTTCCTTTCCGATAGAGCATGACAACCTTGGGTTTACATGTGTATTTGTCATTTAGGTAGTAACTTTTTCAACACTGTCTAAGTACTTGAGATGTATAAGAACAAGTGAAAACATCTGTTGTGTTTTCCCTTTTTTAGTTCCATGTCTGTGGGTTTTTTTAAAGTTTAGACATAGTGAGAGAGCTCTTATGTACCATAGAAAAGACAAGCTATACATTTAGATGTGAAATCAAATATAATAAATAACCCAAATCATTGGTCAGGGTGGCCCCAGGCAGGGCCCCCAGAGTGCTTTCAGAAAGGCCACACACTTCTATTCACCTATCCGTCTTCCACCAGCAAACCTCCTTGTTTAAAATCATCCTCTTAACTTTGAATATTTTAAAAATTTTACATGTTAATACACTCTGATTTTCAGACAACAATTTTTAAACGAATTTGATGACCATACTCTTACATACAACAGCAGGTGGTGAGTGGTGTCCCCATGGGTTAAAATGATCCGAAATTGTTAACCTTAAAATAGAAGTAACTTCATTTAACATAAGAGATTTGAAATTAGCTTGACCCACACTGCTATTTCAGGTATATAGAGAATGTCATTCCCAAACATATATACATGAGTGAGTGAACTCCACATAATGGATTTGCATTTTTAAAGACTGTTTAGTAGGTTATGAAGGAAAGCAAAAGATATACTAAAGAGCCTTGAGGAAATGTGGTTTTGATTCTTAACAAAGACATTACTTTGAGAGGCAGCACGATCAAGTAGAAAGAACCCTAGATTTAAGTCAAGACAGCAGGTGTCAGGATTGCCAGGAATTATTTGTGTAGTTATTGCAGTTGACAGGAAACCACCCCAAACCAGGTAAACAAAAAGGTAGTCTGTGTTGGCTGATGTATCTGAACAGCAGGAACGGAAGTGGCTCAGGAAAGCATCCAGGGAGATGGACAGGTGGACATTTGAAGAGAAAAGAATCTTCAAATCTTTTCTCACTCAGCGTCTTCAGAGTTGGCTCCCTCACGTGGTCACAGGATGGCCCTCACTTCCCAGGGCTGTATCATTCTTTAAGAATAGAGAAAATATCTGTGTCTCACAATTCCCAGTCCAAATCTCAGCATAACTCGTAGATTTCTATGCCATTCCAGACCCACTTGGAACTAATCGCTGCAGCCAGAGAAATGTACTGCTCAGGTTGAACCAACAAGCTTCATGAGTTCACAGGTGAAATCAGTTTCACTTGGAAACACATGAACTAAGACTAGGGAACAGTGGGGTTATTGCTTAGAGTGATAATGCTACAAAAAGGAAACATGATGGATGGATAGAAACAAACAAAACCTAGAAGATCTCTTCAATGATTATATGTAGCCATGAACTCTCGGTGCTTGTTTCTTTATCTGTGTAATGGAAGAATAATTGTTATATATTCATCACAAAATTATTCAGAGCAATAAAAAGATCAATCTAGTTGGAAAGCCTCCTTAATCTATATAGTCTATGCTATATAAATAAATATATACTTAAAATAATTCATATAACCTTTTATATTAGTATCCTTTATATACTCACACAGATCTTCTGGTTTTATTAAAATAACTAAAGATAGACCTGCTTCTAGTGAAATATCCCTTCATAAATATGACATTTTATGATCCAAGGAATATAGAGAATAACCATTTTTACATGTGATTTCCCCTGTTACGAATGAACCACTTAGTTAAGGCATACCATTGAAAGTTGATAAGTCAAGAAATAGAGATTGAAGTATATTACTTAAAGTTATAAAGGTACTTACAACCAAAATTGATATTTCTCATAAAAGTTAGGTGGAAGAGGGGAGAAGGAAAGGAAGGGATAAGTTAACTAAAATACCACATCTTTCATAGTAATAAATCAGTATCTACTGTGTAGAGTTGGTAAATCAAGAAATGGAGGTATATGCATATTATTCAGTGTCAGAGGGCCACCATCAAAGAAATAAAAACATAAATAAGTGAAAATAAGATACTTTTCTATGTAGGACCATGGCTGTGGAAAGGGAAAATGTATAACTTAACTTTTTATTCTATATCCCTCTTTACTGTTTCAATGTTTACATATGTTTAGATTACATTTACTTGAAATAATTTTCAGGTGATCAAGATATCAAAAGCAGAAACTATAAAAGAAAAGCCAATTTATTTATAGCCATAGAGTCAAGGAGTCCTAGCAGGCAAAAACCACTGCAAATGAAACTAACTGATGGAGGATAAACCAAGGACAACAATTTCAACCCGTATTTTGATAGGTTAATTGTCCTTTTAACATACATGACTCATTGTTAATCTCCTTAATATACTGAAGGTACTAGTTATGTTACCTTAGGTAAGGTACTTAAACTCTCTGTAACTCCAATGCGATGATGTAAGATAAGGATAGTAAAGACCACTTACCTCATGAGGATTAAACATAATACACCTAAAACAGGACCTGGCTTACAACACACAATAAATGTTAGATATAAGGTGCTGAAATTATTTCTGTTAAAGACTAATAAAGAAAAGCAAGAAAAATTTTTTAAAAAAGGGCAAAAGCTATCAGTAGGTAATGAACAAGAAAAGAAAATAAATAGTCATTAATCCTACTAAATAAGATCAGACCCATTAATAATGAAATCAAATAAATTAAACCAACAATGGAATATCAGCTTTTGCTTTATGAATCTCCAAGTCTTTGGAACTCAGGAAAGCATAATCATACTATGCATAAGTCAAAGTTTGTGGAAGGGACTCCTCCTTTATTCCTAATGAAAAAGTAATAAAACTT